AAAATTTCGACAGAAATATGGTTTCGGACTCGTATAAATAGAGCTTGTTCTTATTGTGTCCGGTGTTGGGATTATATTAGGTTATTGATTTCAATAATGATAAAAAATAAAATGTTTTAGATATTTCGTTTGAGCTAAAAAATGATTACTGTTATGGCCGATTCATTGGCCAAAGCCAAGTTGTCAACAATGCGTTTTGCTGGAACTAGAGTGTATTGTAGTTGATGTTCATCTAATTAAATTTCACCGCATTCGTATATGTCCTCGGTATCATCATTTCACCATGTTTGCATTTGTTTTGAATACTCTGGCTCTTAGCCTATTTATTGTCTTCTACATTAATCATAGTTTGTTTCTGTCGGGTAGTAGGTGTTAGGAAGGCGAAATAGGTGTTTTAGTTTCCAGCTCTTCTTTCAATTATTTTAGACATATATTTTTAAAATAGTATAAAAAAAATTTAGATGAACTAATAAAAATAGATTATTATTGTTAAGAATTTCAAAAAATGTTTAAATCAATTACTAATTGCTAGACTGTTAATTAACTACTATATTATGTATATTTTAAAGCAGTGAATGAATAAATTGGAGCACTTAACTAATCGGAAAAGTGTTTTCCGAGAAAAAAAAGCATGCAACGTAAAGCATAAAACACTCTAAAACGTGTGTAAGAAAAAGTTTTGTTTTTTTAACAGAATAAATTACTTTGAAAATAATAAATAAAATATTATTTTTCTTCATCATGTCAGTTAGCTGTTAAATTCATTTTTTAAACCAAAAATGAATCAGTATCATTGTTACGTCATTTGTTTCTCTAATGAGGTCACCTATCTCACATTTTGAGTTGGTCATTCTGCACTGCAGTAGGTTACGGTTGGCTTTTGCGTTTCCACATTCGAATACCACAGTCTTTCCTATTTTCAGCCCACGAGGTTCTTTTTTGTTCTTCCTACTTATACCCTCAAGTGGTTTATTGTTTTCCAAAGTCTATAATTAAGGTTCCTTTCCGGGAAATGATTCTCTATTGCCTTTATCCATATTAGCTCGTCTACTTTCCCTTTATTTTTCCATTTTCCATCATCAGGTTCCATTAGTTAAGTTTCAGTTTCCAGTAGTACTGTGTAGAAAACTATATTTCAACTTCAATATATTTTGAAATAATTACGGTATTTAAAAAGTATGCTGAATACAGTTTTCAGAATTCATTATTTAGAATAACTAGTCATGTCTACCTAATAACTATGGACCGTGTATTCAAGGACGATAGACAAATATAGATTGGTATTTGGTCATATTTTGGAAAACAATAATATATTGTTATTTCTTTAAGCCATAAATATAAAAACATGTTATCAAACACTGTTGTAGCTATAAATTATTAATTTATTGATAATTTATGATAATTTCAAATTTAAATTAATAATAACGTCCCCACCTATTGTGAAGTAAAAATGGTTTTTTTTTTCATTGATTAGTCCTACCACTAATTGTATCTTTTTAGCTCAATATCGACTTATGGATTCCCTTTGTATGCGCGATCCATATTTATTAGACCTATGCCCGTACGCTAGAACGGAAAACCCGACTATGCAGTTTCACCAATGGGATTATAAAAAAATTCTATGAAAAAACCGGGCGTACCCACGACTTTGTAACATTTTATCCATCGATGTCGTTTTATAATATGTTTTAACCGTAAGTACATGAGACTTTGAGTGCATCTAACTATACAATGTCACAGTCAGCCGTAAAATATTATGAAAATTCGGTATTCCGAGACGCATATTATTAGTAGGTACAGAACACGACGGCGAATTACACGAAACATCTGGTTCCATTAATATTATTATTATATTTTTTTTATTCACGAGAACACGATACTATAATACGAGTATGTTTAAATATTTTCCGCACGTTTTCCACGGGGTTTTTTTTTTTTGTCATGAACTCGCCGCCGGCTTATTCGTCTCATCGTTGTCACAATTTTTACTGCAATATCAATAATTTACGAATATAATTTTTATAAAACATACATTATTAAACCTCCATAGGCCGTACGTTTGAATTGCGAATTGAATTTCTTTGCGCTTTTTGTATGTTATGGTTCAGAATATCAATTATTAATTGATTTTTATAATCGTTAAAAGCGTGGTACCGGTAATATTTTTTCTAAAAATTTCCAGAATCCGTGTATCGTTTTCTGCGTTTTTACACGAAGGAACTCAATATAGGTGTCGTATCGATCAGGTACACATCAGAGGGGGAACTATGTTCCCCCCAAGTAAGTGATAACCATAATAAAATGTAACGAATAATATATATATTCTAAATTCTAAATAATTTTTCAGCAAAATACACTTTTACGTGTTCTATGAAAACCTTTTTTTTAGGTTAGTACATTGAGAAATTCAGTCAATTACTCCTATTTTTAATTCAAGTTTTTTATCGGTGGTTCTTTATTTGAAAATATTTTCAATACTGCTCAATAGTTCCAACAGTTAGATATTATAATACGCATGTCACATTTATCATTGTGACAATACATAAATACATATATTTTTTTCATACACGTGATTTTATAAATTTTCAATCATTGTCATATTATTTATTTATTTGGTCAACACTTTTTGAAAATAATTTTGAATTATTTCATCGCGAATAATTATTTTATATTATTTAATTTGATAATATTGTTATCATAATTATTTTTCAACCAACTCAGTTTGTCACATAAAGTAAGTTTATGATGTAACTTTATTACAAAAATACCTTTTATAAACTGTTAAATGTTTTACTTTAATTTCTTTTTCTTTTTTTGATTTTAATATTTGTTAGCGACTTTTCTACCAGAAATCTTACACAAATATATCAAGTCTAATATCTTTTCCGATGAGTAATTTTTATTTGGTAGGTACTCTGTGGATAAAATTGTTAGACTAAACGGAAATACTTGAAAATTTAACAGTAGGTTCATAATACGCCATACTTAGTTATAAACAAAAGATGTGTTTAATCTTGTCTTTTTTTTTAAAAAAGAATTTTAACTTAAAATTTTTACGAAAATCGTAAATACGAGTATTACTGCCTTTCAAAATATGTATAATCAAACTTCGCTCCTAATCGTTTTTCATAAGCAATGGTTCATCGTTGCTTACAGATATAAATTAAATAACTTTATGTATCCTACATTCCCAGCTTACCTGTCATTGGCACACTCGTCCTCATTATGTGCAGATTTTTTTTTTTTAAATACTATCCAATGTTTGTTCGCCTCTATATTACTCTATTGGTTAAGATGATATGCGAAGTATGGGAAAACCAGAGAAAATGTCTCCCCTTACCCTTTACCTCCTTTAATAGACGCCCATATACGTAGGTAGCCATAATAAGTAATATTATATTGTACGAAACAGGTGAGTACTAAATTTATTAATGCGCAGTCACGTCAAAATGCTGTTACAAAAACGAATCTTAAAAATTCTTAAACTGCGCGGTATCTATTATTGTAATGATAATTTTATAAGATATTCGATATTAAAAAAAAAAACATAATAACCGTGGAAAAATTAAAAAAAAACCCGTAATAATATATCCCACGCAACAATTTCGTTTTTAGTTATTATAATAACACATTATACACTCACCCATCTACCTAAAGCGTTAAACGGATGAATTATAACGCTCAAAGGGGTTTTACGCGATAACGATATATATTATATTATAACACAATTTTTGTACTTAAAAAGGTACCTATACGAAATCTCCCGAAAGCGTATATTTCGCTATAAACGACTACCCGAAAACGTACCTATATAAACAGGTACCTTATATTTTATTCGGAAAATGATTTACACCGTCCGGATGCGTAGTTGTTCGCTATACTGCAACAAAACACGATACGAATATTATTTAACCGTTTGGATAAACACTGTTATTATATTGCAACGATCGAAGATACTGTATTATAATTTATAATATTGTTATACAGTTCGGTTTACGCGCATTTCAAATAATATCGTTTACGTATTATAATTATATAGGTACGAAAACCTTGAGTTTTTTTTTTTTCCAGTCATTAAAGCCATTCCGTTTAGGCACACTACGTCAAGGTGATCCATTTTAAAGTGGGTACAATCGATATTTCGCAAAGTATTTACTTTTTTTTTTTTTTTTTAATTGTAAAAAACAAGCTGCTCTAAAATTTAACATTTACATTATTTTTTGACATCATAATTTTTGAGGGGGAAACGACTACCTACTTTTGATTTTCAAATGTCGACCCACATTAAAAATTATATAAACAGACGGGGTATGAATTTTAATATAGTTCGGTGTTGACATTTTTATTATTCGCTTTTCCGTTGGCTCATAAAAACTCATATTTTTCATTTATATCTCCTGAATAACGTACTAAGTTTATGCAATAGAAAGTACTCATCTATCAGATTCAATTAGAACTTTATGTTTGCATTAATCATTTAATGTTTGTTATTGATTATTTTTTAAGTTGAACGATTTGTATTATCATTTAATTTTGTTAAGTGTTAGTCTTCTTTTTTTTTTTTTGCAATATTTTCCCTATAATACTTATGGAATTGACCACCTTAGTCCTTTAACCTCCATACATCCAGTTTATTATAGTCATATTAGCTATCTTCATATCTCTGTAATCTATCTAATCATCACTTGTTTAGTATTCCTATTCCTTTCTTTCTATATCCATCTTCATACAACTCTCACTGATTTATTTTACTTTCGTAATAATGTTAGTAATTATTTTAATTATTTTGTAATTATAAATAGTGATAGATATTGATATAATGTGTGTATGGTTTAAAATAAAAACATTATAAGGTCTATGTTATATACTAAGACAGGTGTTATAAAATATTCGAATGAATAGTTGAGTATTTAGTAGGGCTATTTAGATAGACGTACGGACATTATTTTTTTGAATTTTTTGAAAAATAAAATGAACAATAAACGTGAGTGTTCCAATCAATGGAAAAATATTACTGGATAAAGGAAATAACATTGGAATCGTGTCAAATTAAGAAGGGAGATAAAAAGTCTGTCGAAATGATTGAATGTGATACAAATTATAATAAAGTATTAAATTCTATAAAAGAAGACAATGAAGCATTACATTTACAATTAGCTGCCGAAAAAGGGTAAAAAAAGATTTTATTTGATTGTTTCAAAAAAATTAGAGCTAGATCAATAATTAAATACCAAAAGAAAAAACTGAATTGTCTACGACTCTAGACAATAATAATTCGTTAGTATTAAAACTCAAGGACCACGATACGACTATTAGGAATAAAGAGTTGTTAATGAACAATTTGACAAAAAATATAAGTTCTGCAGAAGAAAGATTGAAAATTCAAGATGCAAAGATATTTGAAATGAAAAATTACGTTATTCTGCTTGATGCAGAGCTAAACGAATATAAAGATAAACAATTCTACCTAGATCTTAAATTTAAAAAAGACAACGAGTTAAAGATAAAAAGTGATGAGTTATATAATAAATTGAAGATAAAATACGATGAGTTAAACAACAAGGTGTTAAATGTAAAATTGTCTGAACTCGACCGTTTAACAAAGCATTTCAATGGAAATATAGAGTCCTTGAAACAAATTATGGCTGAAATAACACAGAAGCTTACTCAACGCGATGACGAATTATGCGAATGTGTAAAGCAGAAAAATAATGTACAATCCGGAAATAAATTATTAATGGAATCACATAGTAAATTATTAACAAGGTTCAATACACTTAAAATACAATGCGATGAACAAACTAAAACCATTGACATGAAAAATGATACGGAAGAATCTTTGACAACTGAATTGGACACCGTGAAAGAAACGCTACAGATGAAAGATGCTGATTTGATGAAACTGCATCTGAGAATTTCCGAACTTACGGAAGAGTTAAGCTATTTAAAATGAAGAAAAACGTTCTTAGTTCAACTATATCGAATAGTAAATTAGTGCAATCATACAATATGGTAAATACATCAAATAAACCCATAGAAATAAGGCGTAGAAAACCAAATTTGAAAATAATGCCCGACAAAGAAAATGAAAATAATCCAGCTGGAAAAGATGCAGAAAGTAAAATATTGCAAGTTGAAGAAAACTTAACCATAGATACCACAGAAAAGAAGAAGAAAATATCCGATAAAAATCTCCACTTAATAAAAGAACACAAACAGAGCAGGTTTTCAATATTATTTATATTATTATCGTTATATACGAGTATTAGAATATCATTAATTAGCATGGTAACCAGTGTTGGGTTTGCGTAAAAAATGCCTCGGCCACGGTTTTATACTGGGGTCTCAATTCGTTTTTCTTGGTATCTCATAAATAATTGAACAAGGACTAAAGACACGTCCAAATTAAATTCTTGTCTTAACAGCGGAATCATGTCAACATTTAATTTCAATTTCAAACCAAGGATTACCATTTTTATTTATAACTAAAAAAAAAAAGAGCTGATACTGGGGTGTACCGCTGATTTAGGTGAGAAGTCGGTAAGGTAGGACGCATAAAGTAATTTAATTTATATACCTACGATTATCGATAAACCATTGCTAAGAAATAACAATTCGGAACGAATTTCGTTATGACATATTTTGATAGTTCGTAATTTTTACGATTTTTTCAAAATTTGATCCCAAAACGTTTATGCAAAAACAATGACGAATGCATTAAAATCAAATTTGTTTTTTAGATCACCAAGTAAAACCTATAATGTGCCTTGTATTTTGAATAGGGAAAAGTGGACGTAGGCCGTTTGGACGTGGGGACAATTGGACGTCACAAAAAAAAAAAAAAATCGTATAAATCAATCATTAAACATATTTGTAGTAAAATTTTCTGCTGGTTTATCTATATTTATAAATTATAAATCCACTGATATTATGTTCATAATACATAATATTTCCTAAATACAAGCTGGGCGAGATGTATTTTACGGCCAATTCGAAGCAGTTACATTCCCTCTAAAAAATAAAATTAATTAATTAATTCGGATAAACGAATTTTAAGAATTGTGCAGTTATCAAAGTAGAACTAAAGTACCAGTTTTACGCGGAATCCCTCAAATATTTCTTTACGTTAATATACTATTTTTGACATTAAAAACTTTTTAAATATTGTATATACATATTTGGCGTGTTCGTAATTAATTTAATTAGTATAAATAACTATTTTTGATATTGTATTTTAATTGTTGACTTACCCTATTATAATAAAAAAAATATTTCAGATTTTTTTTTACGTATTATAATAAATATATAAATAAATTATTGACCGATTTATATATATATTTTTTTTTTTACGTCCAATTGTCCTAATGTCCAAACGGCCACGTCAAAACGACTACGTTCGTTTGTCTTAGATCGATTGTATTTAATGTTCGAACATTCAAATTTTAATAACAGATACCTACTGAATAAAATTACATATTAAAAAAACACAAGAATATCAAACACCTAATAATAGCCTAAAAATATTTACAATTATTTGAAAATCTTACCACGATTACCAAAGGCTAATACAAGTATTTTGTGAAAACTACAGATTGAGACAATAATTTTTCAAACAAATAACAACAAAAAGCTCAAATACCATACACTTAGCAAAATTTCCCCACGTTTTTCCCGGTTTTTCATAACTATTGGTAAAACTAAATGGAAAATCAAGCAATGACTTACTCGCAAACCAAAAAAAATTTAATTTCAGAAAATATTCTATTTTTGAATTTTGGACAATGGAATCGATAACGTCCACGGCGTTTAAATATTTTATGTTTTACCTATAATTATATATATATATTATACCCGGTTTTTCATAATTATTTTGAGAACCCCTTCGAAAACCAAAAAATAACCTCTCGAATTTACCAACTAGATACAATTTTCTTTCAAAATAGATACCATACACTTGGTACATATGCTCACAGACAGAAAATACAAAATAAAAAAAAAAAAGATAAAACAAAGGATTTTATTTTCCGAGTGTTTATAAAAATTAATTATTCGATTATTTAACATATGGGATAGAAATGAGGTTTAAAATTGCGATGTACCACATAACAATTTGATAAGTGGTGATTCCAGAACCTACCTGTTATAAATATTCTCGTTTGTACATTTATGCGTATAAAATATAGATATTATATAGATAGTATATTAATATTTATTTATTGACGTTGTGTGTATATTTTGTTTAAGTAATCCAAGTAAAACGCCAAAAAGGCTAAAAGCCAAACCAGATACAAGCATTATGGAAAATTCATTTACGATTCAGAATCAAATTAAAATTAACATACAGTGTAACCCCAAAGTATCGTATTCCAGAAGACCCGGTCAACAGAAAAACAATTTGTTACCACGGAGACCGTTTAGATAATGGACTGATAACCTATATCATATATTTATCTATATTTCCTATACATTTTGTGTACCAGAAGATATTTCATTTATATTTGCTTATTATTTCAGTGTCTGAAAACAAAAGATCGTTGTACAGCCAATGTTAACGCTATACATTAAAAATAATAAATTCTGTCAATTCAGTCCGCTATGAAAATAAAATATCAAAACGAGAAATGTATAGATATTGAGAATAAGTTGGATAGTATATCCAAGCCATTTGATTATTTTTCAGATGAAAATAAATTACTGAATTGATATTAATGCTTTGTTAACAATTTATACGTCATATAAATGGAAAATAATTAAATAGGCTATATATATTTTCTTTAATAATATTTGTTTAATGTTGTATCGATTTTTCTACGTTTTTCCCGGAAAACTCTTTGGGAAAATCGAAAAATGATTTCTCTTAAGTACCTTCCTGATGAAATTTCCTTTTAGGAACATTGCTATCATTATTAGTTAGAGCATAATGATTCTGAGCGGAGTTCAGTAATGATGCTTTGTCAATAATTTATGTCATTTTATAGTATAAAAAAAAAATAAATATAGTAAAAATTGATAACAGTAAATGTGTGTGTAGTATCACTGACTGAAGGGGGGGAGCGAACAACAGACCGCCTTACCATTGCCCTCACCTCAAGCACACTAGTCGGTGATCCGTAGTCGACCAAGTGAAACATAAATTAAGTTTTGTTGCGAATGATGATGAAAACGAAAGTTTTACCAATAAAGATCTAAAATAACCATGTGGTCTTTGTGATTTAAATGGCGTATTTAAGATTAATTCTAACATAATTAAATAAGCTTTAAATATTTTTTTTAATAATATTTGTATAAATGTTGTACCGATATTCCCAGTTTTCCTACGTTAGTCTCGTTTTTCCTCCGTTTTTTTCGATTTTTCAAATTCGACGAGAAAACTCCTGAGAAAATCGAAAAATAACCTCCCTATAGTACCTTTCAAGTCAAATTTCCTTTTAAAAACATCTTTATCATAATAAGTTGGAGCAAAATTGCTGTTATAAAAGTAGTGCACAGAAAAAAAAAAGGCCGTGATATATTTTAAATAATACCTACATTTCTTATATTTTCTCGTTTTTTTCGGTTTTTCGCATTTGATGAGAAAACTAGAGAAAATTGAAAAACGTCCTCTTTAAGTTACATCTTTACGCCGATTTATTTTCAGAAAAGTTGCTACATCTAAAAATTGGATCAAGTCTTCTGGTAGAAAAGTTGTCCACGGAAAAAAAAATAAACATCTTTGTAAAACCATAAGCTTCCTCGCTCCACTCAGAATCAAATAAATATAAAAACTTGCCGAGATAACTTGGAATGTAATACAAGCACATTAATAGCTCTAGGCTTGTAGCATTATCCATACTGCCCATTGTTTGCGAGTATTGCGGTCGAGAAGTGCACCTTGTAGCCAAATAATTGATGTTTTACTATATCAAACAATGGGGACAAAAGCAGGAACAATAAGAAGTATTCTAATCCCATATTTACTTGTTCTTTTTGATATTGGCAATATAACCGATATTTTATCGAAAATTGATAGAAAATTAGAAATCTGACCGTATATTACCGATAAGGCGATAACTAACCGATATTATTTAATATAATATCTATCTATCTAATTTACAGAAAATTGACCCGAAAATGATTGTTATTTCATCGAAATCTGATCGAATATTTACGAAAAATTCGCAAATAAAATTTAATTAGATAATCATTTATAACTTCTGGTCTTTTAAAACAAAAAATACTTCTCAATTATATTTAATATCAATTGTGTAACAGCCCGACACGTGCCGTTTAATAGTGTTTCACTACTCTCTCCCTACCCAAACTTTAAAGTGAAATATCTTGTAAACGGATTGACGAAAATTTAAAATTTAAAAACCAAAATTTATTTTAACTATCTATTTAACTGTCTGTTTATAGATTGTTTATACTTGAAAAACAAAAGGAGGTAGACGATTCATATCCAAAAATTAGGATTACAAAAAATAATGTAAATTTTAAATTTAAGAGCGGCTTGTTTCTTAAATTTTCAAAAAAAAAAAATTAAAAAGGAAATACTTTCGGGATGTCTAGTGTTCCCTTTTAAATAGACCACCTTGTATTTTCAAAATCAGAACTAATAATAATTACTGACATGTGACGTTTATGAACACATTGTTTAGATTGGATAAGTAAACAATTATCTAGACAGAGATAAAAACAAACGGACATTTTTTGCACGATGGATAGGGTACTATTGTAGGTGATAAATTGGGAAGGTAGACGGGAAATTGAATGTCTATCTGTACGCAACGATAAACCATTGCTAACTAAAAACGATTCTGAGTGGAGTTCGATTATACATGTTTTGAAAGGCCGTAATATTTACGGTTCGAAAATGATACATTTCATAAATTTTTCTGTTTTTCCTACGTTTTTTCCCGGTTTTTTCAGTTTATTAGGAAAACTCAAAGAAAAATCAAAAAATTACCACTCCAGACCAATTTTCTTTCAGATAAAGTATGCCACATTTGATAACTGGAGCAAAATTTTTGGTAGAAATGTTTTTCGCAACAAAAAAAAAAATAAATAAAAAAACAATCATCGTTGCAAAACTCATAATCCACTCAGAATCTAAAATGATGTATGAAAATGTATTTAAATAAAAATAAAATATGAATGTATTTGTATTTACAAAAAAAAAAAAATGTTGAATTTCATTTTATGTTATGCTACAGAACTTAGGCTTACTGGGTAAATGCACGGATTTTCTACATACGGTTAAGAAAAATGAACTTAACATTTACTTTCAACGGTAAAATATTAGTTTAATTTGCTTTTGTGTTAACTTGTTAAGTTAAAAATTAAAGGCTTGAAATAAACTAAACTTTACTCGTTATAATACCTGTTTATACAATATACCATGTATAAACAACAATGATATTAACATTTTATGTAGAGAATACAAATAAAAACATGTTTGTATCTTCAACGGTTACCCTGGTTATTTTATATCGTTCATACGAAAAACCCGTGTATAATATAGTGTATCTAGATAAATATATAAATAACTTGAAATCATTTATCTAAATAAAACTAAAAAAATAAGTAAATAGTTATTCAGATGAGTTCGATCACTGTTTATGGGTTATTGCAATCAATAATCGGTGCTTGTCTGTTATCGTCCAGCCGGTACGCCGTATAAAATTCATCTTCCTGTCACTCGTAAGTTTGTTAACGCCCCACCGTATAGTTGTATTAGCGTGCCGTTATTGTCCTTACAATATTATCGCGTTTAGCTCGTGATCGATGATCTTTTTTAAGGAATATTAGATATTTTGGGAAATAGCTGCATTGTGTATCATAAGTAGGTTAAGTATTATAGCATTAGTACGTTGCTGGCTTTCGTTATTATATCACCTACTTCGTTCAAACCAATGCAACAAATTTAATTTAATACGATAAAATGGATTTTAGTGAATTACTTACAGTTGTTTTCAACAACGGAATTACATTTTTACGAAAAAATAATGTAATTAAAGTTAGCGAAACGCCTGGGAATGGCCATACAATGTTTATTGAGGGATCGCGATGGCGGTGTCAGAAAATTAGTTGCCGGAAGGAAAAGGGTTTAAGAGTCGATAACTGGCTAACTGATTCTGGACTACGCAATACACACAATTGTCCATTGCATATGAAACCGACCTAAAACCTGGATAATATGTTCGCGTGCAAATAATAAAAATATTCCGGAACGCGTGTTAACTGTCGACAAAATTTTAGGTTATAAAACCCGTGCGGCTATAAACGACATGAAAAATGGTGGAACAATTTCTATGCTCCGGATCTGTTACGCATTCAAAATGTCCATTCTGTTTGTTCCGTTCGACGGAACCTGTTTACGCATTCGTAGTGCCGTCGCATGATACGCGTTGAATATAAACCGACAAATTCGTTCTATATTATTATTATTATTATTCATTCGCAAACATACGAATATTGTAAAACGCGTCCTGCTGCTGCGGATTTACATAAGGACGTCCGGCCACGCCGTTTATTGCCCGGCAGTAGGTAAATAATATGGGTATACTCACCGGATTATGTTCGGGGAAAAAAAAAAAATAAATAAATAAAAAATATTTCGTATTATTAATCTGTATAATATTATACACACGACTCGTTATATGGTGTAATATAATATACTCGTAATATTGTTATATAATATAGCCACGTAATACCCGAGTACTAAAAATCCGTTTCTTTTGGAAAAACAAAAAACCGCGCAGTATAAACTGTCCCGAAAAAATAACACAACTGCAGTACGTGCACGCGTTTATGTTTACAGCAATAATAACAATAATAATAAAACTATATAATACGATATAAAATTAAAATTCTGTCTATATGTCCGCTATACAGTTGTGTTCCGATCTTGTTGATGCAACTTTGCACGCTTGATATTCAAAAACAAATGAATTGTCCAATTTTCATCTAGAAATTTAACCCTTAAAGGTTGGCTCAAATTCGATTTTTGATTGGAGAAATTTAATTTCGTTTTGTTGATATTTGGGTTACTTGGGTAATAGTAAAAAACATTGAGTTAATATCATTTAATTTGTCGGTCACAGACAATAAAAGCAGGGTACTTTTTAAAAGATAAATTATTTATCATGCAAAACGGCTCACTGTGACATAGCTAAGGGAACAGGAAACGAGAAGATACATTCAATTTCTTTTAAACATTTTTAAAAGGATTGAGCTTGAAAAATACCAGGTAGTGCAGCTAGTACACTATATAAATTCTCTAAAAAATATATAAACTTTACCCCGTATACATTGTATTTCATTCAAATGGTAGATAACATAATTCAGTCGAATAGACTTATATTGAATTTTTTTTTTTTAGGTAAAAATTATCGTTTTGACCCATTTTCGAAATTTGATTTATAGTTATTTAAATGTTATTTT